AAGGGAGTAATGAGATTAAGGAAGAATAAAGTGAAAAATACAATTTTCCCTCACGTTTGTAGTGCAATCATGCAGCTTTGAAGCCTTTAACTCAATGCACCCACCCCTGTAATGCCATGAGAAAATATTTCCAAATTCATATTAATTTATTCAAATTCTGACCTTTTATAAAGCACCAGTCCTGGTTACACATCAAACACTGAGTAGTTGAACAGTAAAATAGCTGTTATAAGCAGCTGAATTAATGGGTGTAAAAAAACGTTTAATACACGTCTGGCCTCTCCCAAATTTAAGAAATCCCTAGCAACAATGCACATGAAATATCCTGTCCTGGCAGGGGGAAATCCCTTCAGATCTTTGGCCAATATTTGTAGCACGTATTTTTACACAAATATTTGATAATATTTATTTTAATTAGACTCCCTAATAAATCATCAAGCCTGTGTTTGTGGTATTCTGCAAATCCCTCTACTTAAAGTGGGAGTTGAATGCAGCAGCCACAGGTGTCCTTTCATTCAGAAGCTTAGATCTGCTGGGGTTGGGTTTCTGGCTTTATTGTTTCAGAAACCTCACAGCCCTAACTGGTACAAACTGAACCTTTGAAGTCCTGCTGTCATCTCTGATGTGGAAACAGAAAATCACATGCTCACGTCCCGATAGTCATCACGTGTCTGGATGTTACTGTGTCCCCAGTGTTGTAGGAAGTATTTCGATTTAGTTCCAATACCATATAAAAACTCCATTATCAGTGTCATAAATTGAAATAAATATTGCTCACAAAATAATAACTGAACTTCTAAGACAAAATACAAGAAATACCTATAGTTTAAAAAACGTACATGGTTTGGTTCTAAGGACTTGAATAGTTAAGCTGTAACTGTTGTCCATATGACAATAATGCCTTTGAAACAGCAATATAATGGTGAAGACGTATTAAGTTGAATAAAACAGATACACGGGTAAGGTAAAAGTACCACATCATTGTTCTGAAGTACATACTTGAGTACATACATTCCACCAATGTGTGTTACCCACATTTGATAACTTTTTAATAAGATTTGTGCACCAAAGTGAAGATTCCACAGGTCAGATATCATCCGGTTTGGTCACTTTTCCACTTTTGCCGCTCTGAACTAGCCACAGTATCTGACACAAAGCAAAAGCCACCCAAATTGACATTGTGACCGCTCTGTGTCAGGGATTCATCGCGGTAAACATGTCTACTAGCTCTTGATTGGGGAGTGTGTATAAAGGGATTGTGCTGCCGACACCACCTAATACAGATATAATTGACTCTGCTTCTGCATTCTGCACATGGATTTGGAGAGGTGCACAGGCTCATTGTACAACAACAAATTAAGCAGGCGGCAGTCAAAAGGAGCTGCTGAGCATTCACCGGATCTCGACAACAGACTATTGAACTCTGCTAAATCTGCAAACACAGCTTCTCCCTCCTTTCGGTCCCTTTCATCTCCTCCTGCAGACCTCCACCTCATAAAGCTAAGTCAAAAAGCAAGTACTTTTGGCTCTTGTCTGGTGAATGCTGATCATCTCTTATAAAACAGCAGTGATTTATTTCCTCTACATTCCTCAGGATGTCGGCATCACCTTTAATGATGCTCTAATGATGGAGTCACTCAAAAAGTTTCTTTCAGTTGAAGGGGAATTCCTGCTCCCTTTGTTGTCTGAGCCTGAGATCTTTGAAATGCAGGAGAGATGAGGGGGAATTATCGATGGATAGTGTTCGGAAATACCAAAGGGCTGTCAGACCTGTTCTGACTTCAGATCAGATGTAACAGGTGGCGCTTCACCTACACAGAATTATTAAACCTCGAAATCGCATTAACTCCATGGAGCAGTTGTATAATCTGTGTGCAGCTCTGTAGAATTAGATCTGCATCATTTGGGCCGATCCGAAAGCAAATAGAGGCGATGTGAGTCCAAGCACACACAGCTGGCCCTTGAGACTCAGGATCCTGGGTAAACAAGGGTCCAGCATGCCTCAGCACAGCTCAGCCATGTATGTGGGGGGGGGGGACATGAGCCACTGAACAATGACTGATACTCTACAAGAGACTGGACTGAAGCAGGGCTTAGCACATTTTTATTACATTTGGCCAGTTTCAATAGACTGCGGACCAAAAGAGGATCATAGACTTTGTCATCAGTTTTAAGATTACTATGACATATACGCCTCCTTAGACTTTGTAATGCTCCTATTGTTGGACTACACACACTGATTTAACATGGAAATCTGCTGCTCGCTCACATCAAAGTTTTCATTTGTGTTACGGTTGCAGATTTAAGGAGGGAGATCGAAAAACTGTCATATTGTGTTTTTATAAGATAACCATTTCAGATTTATTGCATGTTGGTGCCATTTTACTGATCAAAACATACTTCACATTAGTTTTCTTCTCGTGTTTTTAACTTGTATTGTGGGTTCTTTTCTGCAGATTTTTGTTTTACTTTATAAAAGTAAACAGCAAACTCTTAATGGTTATATGTAATACTTTGCAGTAAACATCATGTATGCTTAGGTAAGTGTGTTAACATTAACATAGATGCACATGTAGCAGTATGTACTGTGAGTATATCATTGTATACATGTTTGCACATAATGTCATAAATGCTTGTTAGATGTGGATAAAATGTCTTTAAAAAAAACTGTTTAATGCAAATCGTTTTCTTTCATTTTAAGTCTAAATAAACAAATGCATTTTATTATAATATAAATGATATAATGTATGCACAGGTATTTGCTTCTGTAGTATATACACCGTTTCTTATTGACCCCATGTTCACATTTTTTCTTTTCTCATAAATTAACTTTAACTGTTTGATAAGACATCTGACAGCTCCTTAATTTGTGCATAACTTCATAACCAGATAGGCCTGTAATTTCATTTATTTATTTTTTATTTTACCAGATCATTATAACCTTCTCATTAGGGGCAATTTAGGCCATATATGACATAATACAATTTGCTTTGCTTTATTTTGTTGTAAACAAATGTCAACTTTAATTTGGACACAGATGTGCCACCTTGTGGTCAACTCAATGTAATGCTCATAAAACAAAACAGATCCTTATATTTTTAACAGAGGATTTGTCTCTGTCTTCCTGGTTTATATGACACAGGAAACCAAAGACAAAGAATAGGTCAAAACATGTTTTAGAAATAACAGTGACATTCAATCATTTGAATAAATAATATGTTTGAAGAGCATTCAAAAGAGAGTCTTTACATGCCAAGTAAAACTTGTTATAAATACCACTTTCATTAGGTTGAAATGAATTTAGCTTGGTTCAAATTATTCTTTAACAGCTTAGACATTGAAAGCATGTCCTGATTTACTTTGTAAAATACCCTAAGATCTATCATGTTAAGTTGGTTAACTTTTTAGAAATCGGTCGCTAGGTGGTGCTCTTGTCCTTCAAACTCTGTCACTTACACTTTGTTTCAAACACTCGCCTAAATCTGATTCTGATTGAAAGGACCTTAACAATTAGAGGGTAATTTATTTGAGTGTTTTGGTAGTTACAAGTGCATACGATACATGTTACTTATTTACTTTTACAGTTTTAACTTTAACTTATATCCTGTGAGATGCACTGACACCATAGCCTTTTCATGACATGGTATTTAATATTGACATTGTTGAGTGTTTATCTTTTTATTGTATCCTAGTGCTATCTAGATATTAGCCGATTTTCGAAAAAAATATGAACAATAACTTTTTTTATTAGACAATATGAGAAGTGAACTACTGCTTCTTGATAGAAAAAGAGATCATGCAACCCAAATATAATTATAATGCAATTCCTCAGACATCTTACATGTGCTTTTTCTATTCTATTCTATTCTATTCTATTATATGCTATTCTATGCTATTCTATGCTATTCTATGCTATCCTATTCTATCCTATTCTATTGTATTGTATTCTATTTAAATATAAAAAATGTTTCCAGTTTCTCAGTCTTGGCTTTATAAACTCCTTGGTCTCCAGGATGTAATCTGCAAGTTATGGCACGTGCTTCGCGTAGACCGGAGGAGACTTTGAGCGAATGGCACGCGGACAGATGTGACCCCTCCTCCCTCTCTTCCTCTTTGAGCGGCTCCTGCGCCGGGATGATTGACACAGAGCTGTTCACACAGCCAATGAGAGTGTGCTCTGCTCTATTTGCATACAGTGGCCGCATGCCATTGGCTTGCTGCGTGCTACTGCAAACCGCCTCGCGTGCCATTACAGATGTCTTCTCCTTAATGCAGAGTCTTTAAAAATAGATTAAAATGTGTTTTCATGTGAGGCCAAAAACATGTTAATGCTTGAAATAAATAAAAGTTTTTGATAAAAGATTTTTTTATAGAAATGTTCTTAACTTACGCATAAATAAATATGCAGCCAAAAACTGTTCTTAATGATTACACAGATATCTACTCTTCAAATGAACTGCACACACTGTCAAAAGATAGGGACTGTACTGTCAATTCAACACAGGCTCTACATTCTTCACGTAACACACACACACACACACACACACACACACACACACACACACACACACACACACACACACACACACACACACACACACACACACACACACACACACACACACACACACACACACACACACACACACACACACACACACACACACACACACACACACACACACACACACACACTAAGAGCAGTATAACATTTTTGACGAGCACGGAGCAAAGTTGGAAGCAAACATCCAGCCCTCCCTTATCACTTCACAGCCCGGCCGCTGCTGCTCGCTCCGCTTTGTTGTTTGTCCCTGCAGGGCTGATTGAGCAGCGCGTGACTGACGGCCCGCGGGGGTGTTGTCCAATCAGCGGTCTGCCTCGCGCCCAATGGGTGAGTCCTCTCTGCTATTGGCTGAGGAGAGTGTGGGAAAGAATGCAGAGAAGGTTTCACACGAACTGGGAGCACGCGAGTCGTCTATAAGTACGGCTGCGGCGTGTGTCTGCGTCAGAAGCAAAAACTCGCCCTGCACGGTGCAACACACACTTCTGTATTCAGATGACAGCTCAGTGATAACAAACGACACAACGATATCTGCTCCGGTGGGCTGTCAGCCATACGTTTATGTTCTGAAGCGGAGAACTTTCAACGTTTTTATTTTCTCGGAGCTTCCGCAGAGGATTTACTTCTTTACGCTTTTACCTGGTTTGATCAACAATGCCTGCTGACACTATGGAAAAGCAGACGGCATCTCCTATCGCCGGTTCCCCAGCAAACGGAACACACACACCGGACAAACCGAAAAATGCCAGCGAGCATAGAAAGGTAAACATTGTCTGATAACTTTTCATAAAATATCCATGTGTGATGACATGCAGTTTGCAAGTGGATCAATTGTGGACAAGACATTTATGCAGAATTGTTTTTCTTTGCAGTCATCCAAACCGATCATGGAAAAACGCCGGAGAGCAAGAATAAACGAAAGCCTTGGCCAGCTCAAGACTCTCATCCTGGACGCACTTAAAAAAGATGTAAGTTGAGATCACTTTGATGCACATCACTACTAAGCTTTTTCATGTTTATCGATCATTTCGTTTTAAACGTTCCTTGAATACAGACTCAACTTTTCATGTTTTATCCTACAGAGCTCCAGGCACTCCAAGTTGGAAAAAGCAGACATTCTGGAGATGACTGTGAAGCACTTGAGGAACCTGCAGCGTGTTCAAATGAGCGGTAAGTTTATTTAATAATTTAAGTGGGTCAAACATTTTTAAAGTCATTAGGAAGTTGTTAAAAGACTCACCAATCCGTGGCTAATATCCGCTTCTTCTTTTTTTCCCTTCCCTCAGCAGCACTCTCAGCAGATGCCACCGTCCTGAGCAAATACCGAGCTGGATTCAACGAGTGCATGAACGAAGTCACCCGCTTCATGTCCACCTCAGATGGGGTGAACACGGAGGTGAGGTCGAGGCTCCTCACCCACCTGTCCAGCTGCATGGGCCAGATGATGTACCCGCAGCAGGCCGCGTCCCAGCATGCGCACCTGGCTCAACCTCTCCATGTGCAGCTCCCCTCCACCCTACCCATCAACGCTGCCACCATGGGCTCCAAACTCAGTCCTGTCGAGGCAATGTCCCCTAAGGTCTTTGGTGGTTTTCAGCTGGTGCCTGCAAGCGATGGACAGTTTGCGTTTTTGATCCCTAACCCAGCATTCGCCTCCGCCACATCGCCTGTTATCCCACTTTACGCAAACGCAGGATTGCCTGTTGCTCTCAACGCGAGTCCGGTGCATGGCAGCTCGGCATCGACTGCTGCTTCTCCGGTGCATGGCATGACTTCCTTCTCCGGGGTGTCCCAGGCAGTCAGCCCGGTCGGAGTCAGCACCGGTCCAGAGGGCAACGAGCCTGTTTGGAGGCCTTGGTAGCGCCAGGGACAAGAGATTCATGTCAAACCAGTTTGCATTACTTTTCCAGTTTAGACATTTAACTGACTGCACAGACAACTGTTGCAGGAATTTAACCTGTGACTATTCCTCTACGGGACGGTAACTCTAACCACTTAATGCCCCCCAGTAGTTCTCATTGTTTCGTTTTATGGAACAAGTTTCGCCTTATTTGGCCAATGTTTGTTTTTCTATAATTTATTTTCTGATTCCAACATTTGGATGTCGGTGATAAACATGCTGTATATGTTAAAGATTTATAGGAAAGTTTGTTATGAAGTACTTTTTATGAAAAGGTTTTAGTTTTGTACAGATGTGTTATTGACTGTTATACCAAAGCTGTGTTTTACATTCTTTATTGTTTTGTGTTGAAAAGAAAAACTGAAGTTGGCTGTTGGCCCTTTGTTTTAATAAATTACTTTTCAGAAATTCACTTCTTGTCTACATCCTGTTTCATTTTTTTTCCATGTTACTTTGATAGACTTTATTTAAGAGTATCAAGGGTCATTTTGTAGTTTGTGAAGTCATGCGTAAAAGGCACATTTCATGCGTAAAAGTCACATTGTGAAGTTAGGAAAACCACTTTTAACAGACTCACAGCAGCTATAACTAAGGCCAAATCGAAGCAGCACCATATTGATTATGCTCCCAAAATGAACTCCAATATCAATTAATCTACTAAATGTTAACTTGCCACCTTGTCACCGGTTTGGCGGGAGCTCCTTACATCTGGCCTGCTGCTGGCCCAGGGGACAATGGGGGTGTATTTTTCTATTGCTATAAAGGTAATTAAAAGTTTGAAAAGGGTCTCATCCTGTATGCAGCGGGAGCTTTAAGAAGTCTTAAACCCTATTCATGAGCCTGGGAAATGCTCTCAGGGGTTAATGTCACTAACAGATTGCCTCAGTGAAAGGAGAATATGGAAGGATCCTCGCTTCCTTTTGTGCAGCAATTGTTCGATTCCTCTCCCAGTGGCTCTACACCTCAAATGAGAAAAGAGGGAGACTTTTGTTTGATGGAGGGGAAACATGAGGGCATATAGATATATAAATACACCCCGTATTGCAGGTTAAAGCATTTGAATCTTGCTCCTGACTTACTCTGAAAATCCCTCAAACACTTCCACTGACAACATCATTTGAATTAACATTTTGTGTACGGTCCGTGGCCTTTATCTGGCCAGGTGCTTTCCCCTGACGGCTCAAACGTTTCTGTGTAGGAAGCTCTCCCTCTCCATCTCTTCCTGCTGCTGTTTATCCTGGGTGTTAACGTATCTTCCTCCGGTGAGTGGGGTCTGGATCTGAGGCCTGTGTTTCAGGGCGGCGTTGCATGCGCAAGCCATGTGTCAGCCACTTGCAGTCAGCGGGCCCCTTTACTCAGGATTAGGTTTCAGCCTGGTGTCCGTCGGTCAAAACCCCTCAACATTTAATACTCCACCGGCGCGCCATGGGTGCGCATGGCTGGCACAGGCCACAAGTAAGTCGGTGTGAAAGTGTTTCATAGCCCTGACCACCAGCACACACAAGATAAACATTCCTAGTGTCAAAATATCGAGAGTGCACTTAAAGTTATGCAGAAACAGAGAGTGAAGGTATGCCACGTCTAAACCATGATTGATAACGATCACATAATAAATACAAAGTTTAAAAAGGGTTTATTTAGGAAATAGGCAGCAAGGCCAAATGAAAACCATACCAATGTATTGGCACCCGTTAAAAAAGGAAGTGTTGACAACATAAAAACAAATAGGTTGTGTTTACTGTAACCTGGCCTACGTGACTTGAGATGTTGTCTTTGCACAGAAAACTCTTGATATTCATCTTACTTTAACAGTTGGACTGTTATTTGTGTAGTTGCGTTCTCTCGTTCACTCTGCTGAGTGCCAGTGCCCTGCAGATGACACCGTGGTAAATGGCATACTGAAACCCCACTGCCTGTGATGCTGAAGCAGCCTCCTTCTGCGAGGAGGCATACTGAAACTCCAGTTGGCAGCATGTGTGGGTTCTGCGGTCGTCCCTACTGCCTTCGTGTCTGAGTTAATAGTTCAGAGATGCCTTTGTGGAGCTGAGGTCGTGAGAACCGAGCGAACTAGTCTGCCTGTGGCCGGGCACAGCGCCAGTCAGTAAATCCCCGCTGGCAGGCCGGGGTCGTGCAGCCGCTCTGCGGAGGTGAGGAGGCGAACACACACACGCGTGGCCGCCAAGAAGCGAGCCTGGTCCGGCGTAAACACAGGGGATCGTTGGAGGTTGACTGAGTCCATCCTATTTTTATACGGCACCATGTTGCAGGCTGTAAGCAAATCAGAATAAAGCTGTGGTGTATATCATGATGTTTTGAAATATAAAGGAATGTAAATGTGTCTCATATTCATAATGTGTGCACTGAATAGCTACATCAGGCAACCAAGCAACAACAGCTTTAAGTATAACATACATTAAGGAAAGTGCTAAAGAAACAACGAGAGAGAGAAAGCCATTCTAAGATAAATGTTAGTGGAATAAATGTGCACATAATGGCATGTATTCAGATAGCAGAACGTGAATTTATATCTGACATTTTGCAGATGCCTGCAGCTGAAATTATTGTGTAGATATCCAGATGTGGGCTCATGGTTCTTCAATCCTGTTGTGTTATTCTGCTCGCGTGTGAAGTATCAACAATATAAGAAGTTTTTTGAACATTTGGATTATCAACATTATTTAAAACGAAACAGGCGGGAATACTCTCTGATGAAAAGGATTCATATAGAGGGCTGAATGTCCCTCGGGGATCTGCACCATCACGTCCCTTGGGAGAAGTCGCTATTAAAGGGGGTAGGGGTCGTCTGAGGAGCCACACATTATCATTCTCATTAGCGACTGAATAGAGGAACGCGCGCACAACGTTGCCGCCAAACTTTAAACATCGGTTCTCCCTCCAAATTCACAATTGCCATTGTTGCATCAGGCCTTGTTTAGCTAGTACTTAATGCTTTTCGTATGCAGCTCCTACCACAGCAATTTACTGTAAGTGTGCCTGCAACACTCCAGGGAGATTAGATAAGGGGGAGGCTCTCTGTTTCCTTCCTGATCGCTCAATTGAATAAAGACAAAGGTTAAGCTGTTAGAATTAATGTGGACAGATACATATATATACATTTTTTTACTGAATTGAATGAAGAAAGTCATAAACCAAACGTTTTGTTATTTGCTTCTTCTTTATCTTGAGGTGGGTCTGTTTGGAAATGTATTCCTTTAAATGCTTTGCCTGACATATCTACACCCATATTTATTTAAAAAAAACGATTTCACTCTGATCATAAAAAAAGAAACGTGGAAGTTATAGATGCCAGTTGGACAATAGTTATCTTATTTCTGGATGAACCTCATGAGAGAGCTTTGTTTTCATTGCAACCACAAGGGATTTTCCTGGCTAAAAATATTTAGGGATAGATATGTGTGGCATTGATTAATGCTTATTCTCAATATCTCTCAAGCAGCAGATCACCCCAAGCACAAGGAACATTTTTGCTTGTAACAGTTGTTCTCTATTCTAAACATGAATATAGTAAATAGCTGCTGCCCCGGGATTGTTTGAGTTCTCCACTGCTCTCACTTTCACATAGATGACAGGCTATATTTGCTCCTCAATCTGAAGACGCTCCAGCTACGAGGACAGAAGGAAATGCTCTGCATGCTTTGGCCACAGGTTCTCCTCAGGGGGAAGGCGGGCAGGGAGTGTGTATCAAGCATTAGGAGTTTAATGTGTCAGCCTGTGTTCGTATAGGGCACTCCTCCTCGCACCTGTTTTTCTCAAGAATCAGAGAGTGATATAGGGAGAGACAGACAGACAGACAGACAGACAGACAGACAGACAGACAGACAGACAGACAGACAGACAGACAGACAGACAGACAGACAGACAGACAGACAGACAGACAGACAGTAGGAAACTCAAATGTTTCCCTGAAATGTTTGAGCAACAGTGACAACTGTGCAGGTGTTTGTTTTGAAGGAGACTTGGGATTATGTTGGCTGAACTTGTTTTTTTAATGTCACTCCACATTTGACTCCTTGACACCTTAACAGGTGTTTACTTTTTGTGTCTCTTTAGCAACACAGGCCTTCCTCCTCCCACCGCCGCACTTTTTTGGCTCCCTCCAAACTTCCATCCTGTCTCGGTATTTATAGAAAGAGACCACTTATCCCTGGGACTGGTTGTGAGGTGTGGGGTGTGTGCAGACAGAGGTGAGGCAGGGTGGCTCAGACGCAATGGGACGCGTCAAGCCTGATCAAATATCACAGGGTCTGGGTGCCGCGTGGGCTCCGTTGATCCTCAGCGCTTGTCTACAGAACGTATTTCTGAGGCCAGATTTGGCTTTTCAGCAGCTTCTCTTGTTTCAAGGCATGAGGCCTGTGGCTTACAGCCTTTGCAATGGTGCAGATTCCACAAGAGAAAGTTAAGGGTCCTCCTGACAGGGCTAGAGGTCATCCTGCAGACTCCTAGGTGGCATTAATGGAGCCTGTCCATGAATGTTGACACATTTTATTTATGTATTTATCTATCGAGGGGGTCATCCCAGCCTGTGCGCTGCATGTTTGGCAGCTGTTGTTCTATTTTAGCACTGGTTAAGAGTTCAGCAGCACAGGTCTACAAGCTTAGTACCTAACAAATGATATCCTAATTTTGGAGATGTGAAAATGGATCAGCGTAATGATGTTGTGGCCCCTTAGTGAAGAGATCATTATAGCAGATATAACACAGTTTGAAAACTTCTTAAACCCTTGTAAGTAACACAGGGCATATTTTATTTAGGATTGACTGATGTTGTTACTATATTTTAAACTTACAGGTTATGACATGAATCCAAATTATAAATACATTAATTAGTGTAAAACAAAACACAATGAGGGATATAAGTGTTGCTGGCCTCAGGCCTAGGGGTACCTGAGCCGGCAGAGACTCTACCTTTGTATAAGAACACACAAGAGGCATATGGTGTTTCTCAATGTCGAGGACGCTTCCTTGGTAGGACAAGTCCCTCCGAGTCAGGTCCTTCAGAAGCGATGCAAGAATCCTTCCTAGCCTCGGAAAACGAAGAATTGGAACCGGCTAACAGGTGTGCAGGTGTGCGTCATATGCGAGGTCCTGCCTTAAATGGAGCGCGATTTCCGCCAAAGATTTGGAAATTGGTCCGTGCGCAAAGCATTGTGGGGATTTTGAGACCGCGCAGGATACACATGTGCAGCCTCGAAATTTCCCGCAACGAAGGACGCCGGCCTCGGTAGAATTCCAAGCATCCTGGACATTGGAACAGTCCTTCGGCGGGACTCGATGACGTAGCATCCTTGAAATAGTGGCTCTGGAGCATAGACTGTATATATAAATGGACGTAGTGTCCGTGACGTCACCCATAGGATTCTGCAGAGTTGCAGAGAAGCCCTTAGTAGGCGG